AAAAAGTGGTGATATATAAGACATTCTAAAATAACAAAACAGAGTGTGAACCATTGACACATGAGCAGGGTGGTTCATAAATCTATTTTGCATATCCTACCACCTCTAGATCGAAAGCTCATTAGAGTATGAACCTTTCTTTCTTATTAACACTTGTAAGAGTTTTACTCTTGTTTGCTGTTATGTTCCCTTATTAAAAGGAACAAACCAAGTATCATAACCACAACACAGTGTGGTGTAGTGGTTATGGTGCCAAGAACACCCTGGCATCTCCATTGTAAGTAGTCAACTCTTTTTCCAATAGTTTGACTGCATACCTAGGATTCGCCAGGTATTACTCTTTTCTCCACCACAGCTGCAGGAGAGCTGGATATGCTGGAGAATTTATTGGCAAAAATATAAATGCCAGTAATAATAATTATAAAATAGTAATAATAATGATGATGTCTATAATTTGGAAGCCTTCATAAATCAATAATGAAAAAAGGTATTTTTTCCTATTCAATAGCAAAACAGTGTCCTGCTTCTCGCATTGCTTATTGTATGTAAAGTCACTGAATTAAATTACAGATATTAGCTTAGAATAACAGTAAATTAAAACCATATTTAACAATGCTTAATGGAGTTGCAAAGGGGAAATATAAAAGATTCAACATTTAACAAAGTAGTTTGAAGCTTGTATGACCTTCATTTGATTATCTATTCTTGTATTGAACAAATCTTCCCTGGGGACTTTGCAAGACCTTTAAAAAAAATATAACACTTTGTTTCCTAAGGTCTGTTTATTAAATAGTACTTATTGAGTAATTCATCAAAGTTTTACTTAACTTTGTCAAGAATTGAGGACTAAAAGTGGTAAACGTAGTGATGTCAAAAGCGAAAAATGCTGGGAAATCGCAAAAAACATATTTTTGCACATATCTGGCGCTTACAACTAGTGACCTCTTTACACGCTATTTTGAGCTACTTAGAGGACTACCTGGCACATTTCACGTTTACTCTATTATAAAGCATTGCTCATTTGACACTTAAATGTGGAAAACAGTGTTTTGACACTTACATAGTTTACCACTTTTAGTCTTCAATTAAAAAAAATTAAAATTACGGGTGTAAGAGCATTATGGGTGATGTAGCCCACAACATCTGGAGTGCTGAAGGTTGCCTATCCCTGGTATAGGTTCTCTCTGTAATGGCACAAGAGAGCCAAAACCTTTGATACCTAGTGGAAACAAAATGAAAGGCAAGCTATTAATGTCAAACTGAGCGTTAGCCATTCTCATACTCTGTTTTTGCTATCTAGGGCAGGGGTTGTTACGCTACTTGGGTGATTTAGATTGGAACTCAACTGCAGCTTGTAAAACTCCCTAATTACAGTTGTGAAGAAACTGAGAAACTTTAAAGTATCAATACTGTAGCTTTGAGAAAAGAGAGAATCGCTGGTAACTTGATTCATCCGAAGTTTTAATAAGTGTTAACTTAAATGAATTGCATTTAGGCAATAATCCAATAAGAAGAAGTGCAAGTAATCATCAACACAAAGTTCATTATTAAGTATTTCCTCAGAGAAGCATTAGGTAACATTCTTTAAGTTCATGAGAATAATCTTCAATAGAAACAATAAGCAAGTAGGCAGTAGCTAAGAATATTTGCAGAGCAAGAACAGTTCATAGTTAATAAGCATGATGGGAGTTGTCCTCCATATAATTAGTAGCTTGAAGCACTGAGTGTAATTGCAAAGCAAGAAATAGTTCATAGTGAATAAGCATGATGGGAGTTGTCCTCCATATACTTAGTAGTATGAACCACTGAGTATATTTGCAAAGCAAGAAACAGTTCATTATTAAATATTGTAGACAAATAGCTGAAAGATATACTTAAGGTTAATATGAGTAGTCCTCCAATAGTTCTGGGATATGGTCCACTTGTAAAGTAAGTGAGTTTCCGTTCTCCAGTAATCCTCTATGACATGAAGCATACTTGTCTTGGTCCAGAAGGCTAGGACAACTTCAGAGTTTGTAGAGCCGGCGTGTCCCAGTAGCCGGCGTACATATTCGGAAGTAGGACCAGAGCCTGTGGAGAGGTAAGTCTGGTGGAAGTAGCTGAGCCTGTGGAGCCCACGGTCTCAAGGAGGCAGCTCACACATTAGCTCACACACAATCACCAAGCACCCTCTCTCTGGCCCAGTCTCCCTAAATACCATCAGAGCTGTGTCAGAGGGGGGCGGGGTCCGGCTCCGCCCAGCGGAGTGCCGAACCCAGAAGTGTTACCCCATGACAGGGGTAGGCAATCTTTTAGCAGCACTGTGCCTGAATAAGATTGTGGTCTCCCGTAAAGTGCCAGTCCTATTTTTTTTTTTTTATTGAGATGTGCATGTTTTCATATTCTGCTTGTGTTATTATACTGCAGTTGCTTTGTTTCGTTTTATTTGTGCGTAGATGAGCTATTATATTGTATATGTTCATGAGTAGTTTGTGGTGTTGTGTATGATACCTATGAATCTGGGCTGCTTTTGGTGGATTTGTCACATTGTGTATTTGGTAGTGTGTGAATGTGAGGGGCTGTTTGGGGTATTGCATGTGAGAGGCTGCATGTGGGGTTGTGTACATGTATGTGGATTGTTAGTGGTGTTGAGTTTGTGCAGATTGTGTGTATGTTTGTGTATGAGCTGCTCATAATTTTTATGAGGGGAGGGTTATTCTGCATTTCTGTGTATGTCTAGCAGTGTGAGTGGCTTCCCTGGGGTCCAGTGGGAACCAGGCTGGCCAGGGTACAGGTCAAAGAAAGGAGCTGCAACAGCAGCTGTGGGTTGTTCTACTACAGTGTGGATTCCCATTCAAAATTGCTGGGAGGAAGTGATCAATGCATAAATTGATGATTAGCAGATATCTGAAGTTTCACTGGGACTCCTGATAGGCTAGAGCCTGTTTGTCTCTGGCAGCCTTGAGTGCCGTGCAAAAACACCTTGAGTTCCATGCATGGCACATGTGCCATAGGTTGCCTATCCCTGGTCTAGGGCATAACTCTAGTTACAATATTAGATCCAACCTGGTGAATGAGCTTGATGCCTCATTTAAAGAGCCCGAGGAGGCTGGATTTCCAAAATAAGTGGGTGAAGTTTGTAAGAGCAGTCATTAGGTTGTTGGAGTAAGACCTGCTTAAAATGGGCATTGCTTTAACAATGCTATATCTAAATTTTTACTAAGCTATTTTATAGTTTGTAGTTATAGCCAAAATCGGGGTGATCACAATCCAGTTCTGGCCTTCAGTTGATAATATGTTCTGGTCTTCGGTCAAATGTGTTTTCAAGGCAATCACAATCCAAAATTGCCACACAATTGTCTGAGGTGCAGACAATGCCTTGCAGTGCCACTGCTTAATTCTGTGCCAATAAGGATATAATGTACTTTGTTTTTACAATCCTAGCCACACCTTCCCTGGCTGTGACTCACACAGCCTCTCTACATACTTTCTGGAAAAAAAAAAAATCAAAAATTTTATATTATTGCACAGTGTGTTTCATTTAGAAGTTATTTTCTTATAATCTGTTTATTCCCTGTTAGAGCTTATGGTAGCCCACAGATAAAAGTTCAAGTAACAGAGCAGGAACATCTAAATTAAACGCACTGTGCTGTAAGATTGGTTTTAAAACATTTCTTTCATGAAGGTTGTGTGTGAGTCACAGCCAGGAAAGGAGAGTTTTAATTTATCAATGGCAAATAATTGAGCAGTAAAACTAAAAGGACATGGTCTATAAACCAAATTGGCTTCATTAACCCCTTAAGGACCAAACTTCTGGAATAAAGGGAATCATGACAGGTCACACATGGCATGTGTCCTTAAGGGGTTAAGATCAAGATTTCTGGTGCTTTGACTGTCCCTTTAACTTTGATTGACTTCATTAATCACATGATCTTGAAATCAATACTCTGAGCTTATGAGGTTAATGACAAACAAAATGGATCCAGCTTGGAAAAATCATATATCTCTGTTAAACCCCTTTTATAGTGCAGTATTGGTAAAAAGTAAGTGACATGTGCACCCTTAACCAGTTTGTCATGCTATCAATTTTGCTACATTATAATGGTATAACATGGTTTTGCAATAAGGAATGATCTGTACAAATCAGTTTGATGACATTGTTTGAAAACGTCATCAACACAAGGGATTTGTTTGTGGTGTTTGTTCTGCTTATGCAAATAAAAAAGAAAAACAATTTTTTTAAATTTATATTAATTAGCTGAAGAGTACTAGTTTTGTATAACAGTGTACTAGGGGATATGGAGAGAAAGAATGAATAATTCCAGTCTCTGATTATCTAATGTACTGATATCTAGGAATACTTGGTTACTTGGCCATCACCGCTTTCCACTTTAGATGTTTCTTTCAGAAGGAGTGCTAAGCATATAATTATAATTGTCATGATCAGCAGATGCTCTAATCCTTTTTTATGCATTAGCCACTTTTCTCTTCAAATTCAATAGCTCAATACACCTGGAACTCATTTCAGAGATATTGCAGCCATTTACTTATTCCTTAGGAGCACTTCAA